CAGACTCGCAAACTAGTCAGGATTGCATACTGCACGGGCGGAACCGGAATCCTACAGGACGGTAGGGTATATGCGTTGAAATGGCAAGGCGTGAGAACCACAAAATTAACGGGAGAGACTGGTAAGACAGAACCCCAGAAGTGGAATGATTGGTCAGCTAGGACCACAAACTACTCAAGCGTGACCAGCTCGATCGACCAAGATAGCAAACTGCAAGATCTGTACCCACACAACGAAGCAGGCCAACCAGGAGCGGCGGCGCCTTCTTAGACATGATGACTACCTCCCCAGAGGGTAGAATGTCTAGCCCCAGGAGCGATGTAGCGCCTGACACACTGGCAGAACCGGTCCCGAGCTCTCTGAGAAATACCTGAGGATCGAGGCCATGGGTGAGGTGTGCAGACGCTCACAGAGAGATGCCACTGCAGGGAGGTCAGCGTGGGACAACGGGAGTAGGCTGGAGTGATTACGAGACACCGGGGGAACTTATTCTAACGGTGCTCAGCTCGAAAGGAAAGGAGGGTAGCTAGCAACAAAAAGGTCGGATAGACCGTAAGAGGGTTATCATAAAACGCAAAAGCAAATGTTTGATGTATGCAATGGGTGAACACGGATATAGAACATTGCGATAAATAATTTGGATAGTGAAAATAAGGGATTAGAGAAATAAGGAAGAGAAGAAGACGGAAAAGATGGTAGTGAAAAGATGGTTGAATATAATAAACTAATGCGTGAAACGCACACAAAAAATGTAGGTAAATTAAGAGGTATATAGATTGTAGACGCAAGCATGTATGATTCAAAATCAAGGCGGCTCTTCACATCCACCATATCCGTATAAGCACATGCAAATTTCTAAAAAAAAAAGTCAGGAAGCCCGGCTGCGGGAGGCGGCCGGGCCGGCAGACAGGAAGTGAGAACCCGTGGTGCCAAGGCGATCCGGGCTCATAATGGCCAAATGCTGGACCACTAAGACAGCCACAGAACTAGTCGGCTCGACTCCAACTAACACGGGAACGGGACCGGGTGTACCGGTTGTGAGTCTGCATCCGGATTGCGAACGGCGTTAAACACCGGTGTCGCGTGTTGGTGGAACGGTGGGGTTTGTTGGAGACTGGAGAAATTGTGGAGGACTGGTCGTATAGTGATTGTACTGGTCATACGGCATTCAGGCTGTGGACAATACCTACTTCGGGAACTTAAAAAGAATTTGGTGATGGTGATGCTTCAAAGACTGGGAAAATCACGACGATTTAGCAGTTGCTTACCAATTTCATTAGAACTAGCAGACTCAACCTTACTGAAGGAACAGGCAACTATTTGTGTCGGATACGATCTCAATAAGATTCATAAAAAAACTAAAGCCATTTTCTACTGAAGAGTCAAAGCTATTCCGATTATAATGATACAAAAATACGTATGTCACCATAGAATAAAAGAAAGGAAAATGGACGGGATAAAAGCCTATGGAACCTGAATGACAGCATCTCCAATCAAAGGTCCCACCAATTCTCCACCGTCATGCTCTCGCTATGTCCTAATCAAACAAATCGCCTGAGTCACCGCTTCGATCGAAGCATTTACCGATTCACAGCGAAAGTCTATCTCCACTTCCGATTCGACCACCCACAATATGCGGTCTGCCTGAGGTCAAGCGACACTTTTAACACCTGTGCCCATGTGAGGCTTTCGGTTTTCACCCTCACCGGCGACCTTCGGGCAAAGGCCCTCCCGCACCGGCCCGTACAACCGTCATGGGAAATTCTGGGGCCATTTGGATTGTCTCGGGTCAGCCGCGACCGCTGAGGGTCAGGAGATATCACCTTACCACTCAGAGGTCGCTGGCTACAAATTTGGCGGCCGGAAGCGGGCTAAAAAGTGAAACGGCGATCGAGCTATGGAGACGTTGAAAGCGGTGGTTGCCAGCCAAGGGAAGAAAGATGTCTGGTGAAGACAGCAAGTTCAATGCTTGGTGGTCAGTGGATGAAAGCAGGGAAATGTTAAATGTTAAAGGTAGAAGGTCTGTTGGCCTGTGCAGAAACGAGATGAGGAAGCAGGGTCTAATATTCAACCACAACAGAACCGCAATTTTGTAGGGCTGTAGGCTACATGAAAGCTTGTTGTTGTCGCTCTGCCAATGTTACACAGTTGTAATTTGCCACTCTCTGAATAGTCTATCCACTTGACTTTGACCGCTTCCTGGCTATTTCATTTGTCCATTTGTCCATCTGTTTCATTTGTCTTTTTCCCACCGCCTTCAAGACCGAGCATGGGCCCATCCATCGCGTCTTGTTGACCGCTTTCAGTACGGTAAGGTATGTCACCAGGCCGGCGCGGCACTCCTCGTCCCCAATGCGCCGCCGCTCGCCGTCTGTGCACCGTCGCACGCCTCACATGCGTCGCCACACGCCACCGTGGCTCGTCGTGTGCGCCATCGCTCACTTCCAATGCGGCGTAGCTCGTCTCCGATGTGTCGCTGCTAGTCTCCTATGTGCCATATCTCGTTTCTCGTTTCCAATGCCCTTAGCTCGTTTCAAATACGCTATCGCACGTCTCCATTGCACGATAGCCCGCCCCCTGTGTGTGACCGCCGCGCTGGCTCTCTGTGCACCATCGCTCGCCTCCTGTGCGTCGCAACTCGCCGTATAGCTAGCATGCTGTGCGCCGTTGCTAGCCTCACATGCGCCATAGCTCGTCTCCAACGCGCCATCGCTCGCCGTTGCCCACCGCCGCTCACCACGCACCGGTTGGTCGCTCGGCCGGCCGGCGCTCGAGACGCGTGGCTAGCTGCCATGCCTGTGCGCCTCCTCCGCAGGCGCGCCGAGTTCAGTGACCGTCAGCGACCTACCGCCCAGACGACCTGCTTACGTAAGCAGCTCCACGGGTCTGGCCGACCAATCACAGCGCTCCACTGCGTCACAGGCACGCAGTGACGTACTGAGTGATGGCGAGGAATCGAAGGGGTCGGCAGTTGTAGTCGCTTTCATTAGTTGATAAAAACTTTGACTAAAAGTGACCAGACATGTGTGTGGAACATTATGAAACTTGGACCTTCTTGAAGACAAATCTTAGTGTTCAGCAGAGGCATGAACGATATATCGAACTACCTGCATACTTCGAGTAGCAGCTTCGTAGCAGATGTGAAAATAAAATGAATGAACTGAATGAATGAGCAGTACCTACCAACTGAATGTAATCTAATCAAAAAGTGTCATAAAATGGCTGAATCAACTCCTCGAGAAATGGAACCACAATTGGAGCCAGTAGAACAAACGAAATCCACTGAGACAAAGACGAAGCTAAACCGAAGAGATAACCGAAGAAAAATGGGAAAGTGAAAATAAGTGGAACGCACTGCCGCCCCGCGTCTCAGCGGGAGAGCCGCTGGTGGTTTCGAGGGAATGTCATGCTCGCCTCACCGGGGGGTGTACTGAGCCAGCCCGAGGGCGTCCAACTTCCGGCGTCCCACTTAGCGCGTGCATGAGATGAATACGGGATGAAGGCGGTGCCAACTGAAAGTCCTCTCCCCCTCTCTCTCCGTCGCACCTCCATGCGTCTTTCTTTCTCCCTCTTTCTGATCGTAGTCCCGTTTTTCTCTGTTTCTCTTTGCTCGTGTGTTTGTTTGTTTGCTTGTTTCTTTTCCTTTCCCTTTTTCTGGTTTTACTCTTCAAGATCCTTTTTTCCGCGTTAAGCCTCTCTTTTTGTTCTCTATCTCTCAGCATGCATCTCCCATAAGTCATATTCTCCAGCACCATTGACCACACATGGGTATTCTCACTCTCAAGCTAATGCTGACTGAAAACAGACTGAGCACATTTGACATTTTTAGATACATCCTTGGCATTTTGAGAAGCATCAATCTGAATGACTATCGAGCTGAATCCCCACCCTCTCTTCTTCCGACTGGACCGGGCTGTCAGTTACGTAATGCTCCATTTACGTTCTTCAGCCTACTTTGATGTGAACTGAGGCCATACATTATATAACTATTCTAGATGTTTCCTAGACTTCACTCTCTAACAACTAGGCCCTACCTGTCTACATAGTCCATGACCAATAATTCAAAATGGCATCCCCAATTTTGAGAGGCACAATTCCTGTTTCCCCTTTATCAAACCGGGCCGTTCTAAGGATTTAAACACAACAGAGAAGACCAGTGGAGCTAGTTCGTCATCCTTCTATGCGATTATCCCCCATGGAACCCAAGGTTACCCTTTTTCTCCCGAAGTTTTTGCTTCAGCCTCACCCCATTCACACCCCCACTGTCCAATCCCGTTCCAGCACCCAGTTCAGCTCTCAGTCTGTCTTTCTCCAGCGAGGTTAGGGAGACCTCGAAACCCACACGGGATAGCAGAGACGACCACGCCTCACTCACGACTGAGTCACGAACCAATAGATAACGCCCCATATCGTGTCACCGTGACGTCAGGATGTAAGTGCAAGAACAGCCATACTGTTGTATCGTCAGACAAAAACGATCCGGTTAGAGCGGTCGCTTGCTAAAGGCTTGAGTGGTGACCAATTCATGGTCTCTCTCTCTCTCTCTCTCTCTCTCTCTCTCTCTCTCTCTCTCTCTCTCTCTCTCTCTCTCTCTCTCTCTCTCTCTCTCTCTCTCTCTCTCTCTCTCTCTCTCTCTCTCTCTCTCTCTCTCTCTCTCTCTCTCTCTCTCTCTCTCTCTCTCTCTCTCTCTCTCTCTCTCTCTCTCTCTCTCTCTCTCTCTCTCTCTCTCTCTCTCTCTCTCTCTCTCTCTCTCTCTCTGCTCTCTCTCTCTCTCTCCCTCTCTCTCTCTCTTCTCTGTCTTTCTCTGTCTCTGTCTCTTTCTTTCTCTCCTTAGCCACTCCCATAAACCCTTCTGCGCGGTGGCCTTTGCCTTTCTGCCTTAGAGCGTGACAACTCACTGGCAATATCCAAAGGTAGCTCAGCCAGAGGGCATCAATCGCAACTCCAAAAAGACTTCTTCTGATAAAGTAACAGTGCCGCCAGCGTTGTGGCAGACTTACCTTTGACAGAGCTCAGCAGCTTTGTCCCAGGAGTGGTGAATGTTGAAGAAACGGTAACAGTGCTGGCCTCTCAGCATCCAGTCTGAAATAAAGACATTTAATTAGATAAAGTGACATAAAAGTGACAGCAATATCGGTAGCAAACAGTGATACTACTGGACTTCGACGAGATGCTTATGTGAAACGCACACTTTCCTTCATTACCTACTGTGACGTGCGATTGAATTTAACTGTGATCGATTGAATTCCCTCTTTGATGATTTGATCATTGAATTAATATCTCGTCCTCTTCCGTATCAGCTTATGATACCAGCATCAACCAACCCACGTATGTACCCATAAGGCTAATGCATGTGTAACAGATTTTGCAGCTTTTTAAAAGTGCAAGTGTCCATACATTCCTCGATGAGCAGATATACTCCTCAAAAAACACATCAGATCCTATCATGAACACGACGACAGGATTTACCTCAACATCTAACTCCATTCTACCAGTTTTGTGCAGACGTCGTGTGCCTGATATCTCCCGTGAAATCGCCGCTAGATAATCCCACTGCCATCTAGGTCATCGACCTTTTCACACATGAGACGGCGCATCGTTCCCGTCACCGTGGAAGGGTAGCCATCTGAACCGGAAAGTGTCAAAACCCTTCATCAGGGTCGCGGAGGGACAGTGAGATAGCGGAAAACGGTCATTGTGTGTTTAGCAGAAATACAAAACAACAATAAACGTTGAAGCTAAGGGCTAGATTGGAGCGAATATTCAATCACACCACAAACAAATGTTTTGAGAATCTCCCGAAATGTCCACACACCATTCACCACACACCATGACGTGCGTTTCCTTTTCATAGGTACCGTGGAAAAATGCGAACTATTCCACAAGGCTAAAGCATAAATTTTCCTAGAAACTATATTCCAATTTAATATATAACAGTAGAATGTAATAGCTTACAGCACTGCCCGATACAGTAATGTAAAAACACAAAGTGTCCGTCCCATGATGAATAGCAATCCCTAGTTCCCGACCTATGCAGCATTGAAGTTCCCAACGCTAGTGCTAGTAACCTATTCAGCACTGCGGTCTCCAGATCCTGTCCTGCGTTACATAACGGCCGCCGACTATGGTGTTAGTGTGCTGTGCGTGACTACAGTCTCCAAAAGGTGTTACTGCCCCACACACTAATGCAGTCTCCAGCGGTCGGACTGTTTGTGCGTTGGAGTTGCGGAAGTTGGTGTTAGCGTCGTACACACCGTCGAGGTCCCCAAGGTTAGCACCCCACGCAGCGTTGCAGTCCCCACGGATGCCGTACCACGTACGATTGCAGTCGACAAAATGTTGTCATGTGTTGTTTTATGCCTCACTGCAACATATTTTACCAAGATTGCTTCTATTGTCTTGTTTTGTTTGTTTTGTTTATTGGGGTTTTTGGGCGCGCCGACTGCACAGGTCAATTTGCGTCCATTTGCTTCTATTGTCGGCAATAGCGACAAAAACGCTTTAAGTCAAAGTGCGGTTTTATAAGGCAGTCAGTACTGTAACCGACATCTAAAATCAGTATGATTTCAACGCAAGCCATCATCGGACGCTGATTTTTAGGACTTTTCATAATTTCCCGACGCTACTATCACCTGAGGTTTTAGTGAGCCGGGTGATTCACACTCATAAAAAACAATGAACTCATTTCTACGTGCTATGTTATGACATACGTGTACGTCCTATGCTGTTACAGGTGCACAGCACTGAACATAGAGAAAATGTCAAAGACCAATTTTCTGCGTCACCCCGGTCTGCGCCGGGCGCTCGTGCCAGTCACTGATTTAGTCCACCGGTGCGTGACTTGTGGTAGCTGCTCGAGCGAGATTCGTCCTCTGCGGCACGACCTCAGGAGGGTGCGACCAGTCAGTGACCCCACCGGAGGACACTGAATAAAACATGAGTGGCGAGGCTGCCGAGACGGCCAGTGTCCACCGGTTCGACACAGAATGACATTCGACGGCCATCAGTCTCGTTGAGGCACTAGAGACGTTTTGTAGTGCGTGCCAGTATCTGTCGCTGCGCTTTGCAATAAATTTTAACGCATTAAACTGACTCTTAACGCAATTTTGAAGTGATAGTAAAAAACACGAATCTTTCCACTGCAAGCACCCACCTCTTCCCGGAAAAGATGCTGTTTTGATTCATGACAATATGGAGTCGTCTTCGGTCTTTGAAAGGTTTGGCAAGCCTATAGCTAGCGGATCACATTTTACTATCTGATACTGATTGTGATAGCCAAGTGCTTTGGGGAATACGTCATCCATTCTGATGTTTACAAATGACAAAATCGACTTATGTTGTTTCTCGTACTATCTAAATCATTGCTAGAGAGTTAAAAGGTAACGAGCAATTATATTTATGGTGAAATAAATCACCTTTCACTGAATGATGTAATCCATGCAATATGTGTAACAAAATAAGTGCGCTCACTTCAAAGGGAGATATCAATAAATCCCTGATAAGTGATCATTGACAATGATCTGTACCAACATAACTGGTGATATAACGGACAAATAACCGATAATACGAAAGGTGATATCAGCAACGACCATTAGCCAAAACATAACCGGGACTGGTTTGTTGTTGGATATATTCGAATAGTACCGAGTGGATTACGTAACCATGCTCTAGTACCGGACTGAAGCGGCGGTATTTTTAGTACAAGTCTGTTTTATAGAGAGAGAGCATTACTTACTTTCCTGCTCAGGCTCAGCACTTTCAGGCTCAGCAAAATCAAAGGAAGTGGGATTCGATTACTTTATCTAAATAAATAAACTATTTGAGGAGTGTGTTCATCTGCAGCATTCAATGCCACCTCTCTAGCTCCGCCAACCACCCCCTCGCCTGCCCTACGTGCCCCCCCCCCCCCCCTATAGCGTACTCACCCTGAGGGCACTCAAAGAAGCTACCCTCCGAGGCGGACTCAGAAAGAGAGAGGGTGAGTGCCGCCGATAGGAGGCCCACCCATAGCAGGTAGGCTCTCATGGTGTGGCCCTGAAACAGCAGACATGCGTGAGTGACAGATGACGTACAAATGACAAATGACTCTGGGTTCAAAACTTCAAATGACAGATATGCCTAACAAGTGATAAGTGACTTCTGTACTAACAACAACAGCAAATTCGGTTTGCAATGCATCAATGGCAATTTGGGAAATTAGTGACACATGCTAGACATCGGCATTGGTGACAAAATGACATACAGAAGCAGTCGTACAAGCGACAGCTAAAGGATTGACGTTAACTGGTAAAGCACGAACCAATCATCCACATCATACGATAAAAACCCAGAAAGACCAGCATATTTTGCGGGCATAACATGTCTCGACAAAAACAATAGGCCCTAAGAACTAACTTTCACTAGGGGCTCCTATTGTTGGGACTCAATGTATGCATGCCTGCTGAATGGAAATTCCTACCCATAAAGTTCTTGTCACGCCCATGCCTTGAATTAAAAATTAAGAAATTAAATGGGCAGCAACGGCACTGCTGGCCGCTGAGACGGGGCCATGGCCGCCATTAGGGCCCGATATTTAGCGGTGAGGTATGCTTATGGTAGTGCGAGTGAAGAATTAAGTACCTGACCATTAGTGACCCGCCTCCTTTCAGCCTCTATCGCGTAGCCTACAAGGGTCTCCAATGAACAGTGAGCGTGAATATAAGACTCAATGCAGCAACACTAGCATTGGTTGTGCTTACGTGAACCATTAACCTGTTCCTTGCCCTGCGTTTTTCTTGTATCTTTACTTTGAAATAAAACGAACGTAGGTACCGTGATAATATTTTCCCACCATTTCGCACTTTATTACCTCCAAGTGTTACGTGAAGTGCCAGAGTGTTTTCTTCACCAGCCAAAATGAATACAACGTAAGGTATTTAATTTTTTATAGTAACTGGAAACGTTAAAGATCATTTATAAAGCCATTAGAATGAAATAAGCAGACCCAGCTCAGAGTTATGATTCTCGCAAATACGCTTGCGTTGACAGACTATGCCGAATTACTGTTTTTGTAAAATAATAGCTCAGTATAACTTGAACTTGAATTCGGCTGACCAAACCTTGACCAACGGCTAAACCTCAAACTAATGCTGACTTAGGTTGACCTCAAAGGTCAAGTTAAAGTTCTACCTTTCAGGTCAGGGGATTGCGGTTGCACTAAGTAATTGTTATAGTGATTTCAAATAGGCACCGTGGCGCCACTAATGGCAAAACACCCCACTACAGTTCACTTGTTACATAAGCATTACCCAAAGAGCGGATCAGTATTCGGTATCATTACACGGCTCGACCCATAATTTATCCGAGAAAAAAAGTTCCAAAGGTCACTTTAAAGTCCAAAAGACGTTTCGTTTAAATGCCTCCTTCGGAAGTATTTTCTTTCGTTCACGCCCTTACGAAACCACGAACTCCTGTGGTTCCGCGGTTCCGCAGAGGCTAGCGCATGACGTCATAGGTCAATGGCCACCTGACCTGGTTAGAAAATGAAACCGGTTTCCAAAGGTGCGACCTTAACCAAAGGCAGTGCAGATATGCCTTATTTCGCCGTCTTTTTTCTCATTTCTTGAGCGATTGCAAAAAAAATACGAGGTGTGAGTATCAGAACATATTCTCGTTAGGGGTCATGCGAGCAGCCAACACACAAAAAAGTTTTTTCACCGAACTATGATTCATTATAACAATTTTTCCGTCTACAACACGATTAATTTCCCAAAAGCTTCGGGGTAGGCATTTGCGCGGATTTAACAGTTTTCGTCGACATAACAACGCGAAAGAATTATAAATAAAGAGTTTAACCCAATGAGTTTTCGAACGAGCCATCATTGTTCACCGCATTTTTTAAATAATTAAACTTCTACTGATCCCCGATGCGATTGCACATCTGGTTCACTGCACTCATCCTACATATCTTTAGTTATTTCGGCTTTATCGTCCATCGCTTCGCTGGTTGCTTCAATGCCGCTTCGATCACGTCCCTGAGTGGTTTCTGCACTGATAAGCAGAATAAACTCAGGCATAAAAATGCCTATTAACTAATCACGTCCACATACGCATTGGCGACCCCAGACGAGGCATCAGAGGAGATGGGGCAAACCGTAATCGAAGGTCGGGTGTCCACTGTTCATTTCTTGCCATGTGGCATGCACTGCCTTTGGCTGTTAAAAGCTGAGTTGTATGTGGATAGGAAGGCGGAAGCCACGGCTTTCATGCCCGCTAACACGCAGACGCAACCACTCACGTCTCACGCACGCTTCACCTGACGTGCGATTTTGCGGAACTTCCGGGACAGGACCTTCACACGTACACTCGCTCACAAAACCAAGTCTCAAGTCCCGATTCACCTATGTGCGGCGTCTCACCCACCTTTTTGGTGCAATCCGTTCGTTAGGTGGTGGCTCTAGCGAGCTGGAAGACGGCACGGGCGTCGCGGACCTCCCCACCACGGGGCCTTTGGGCCGAGACTGCGCGCTTGGTCAGCCGGAGCCCTCTCCGACGAGCACCGCCGCCGCCGCCGCCGCCGCCGCCGCCGCCCGCGGCAGCAGCGGCGGGCGGCGGCGGCACCGCAGAAGATGTCCAGCACCAATAAGGACCAGTTTACCCAGCGAGCGGGCGGAATTTCGCCCGTCGGCGCACTGAGATTAACTCGGCTCGCCGCCGCGGAATGACCGGAGCGGGACGGTAAGGGCGATGACCAGGCGGTCACCCGCAGCCAAACAGCGCGCAACGCAGACGATTCTCGACCCTATTGTCCGCCCGGCGAGATGTTTGCTGAAAACTGAGGAGGCTGGGTACGCGGACGGCAAACCACGGACGAAAAAAAAACGGGAAGGAGGATCACTGAAAAACAATTCTGCAGCTGTGCCACCTGAGATTCGCGTTTTACACGATCGCTGTAGCGCTTAAACTATTTTTTTTTTCGAATTTCGATCACGTTTAGATACCTGAGCAGTGATTGCGCATCAGATGATTTCCTATAGTTAATCCGGCCTCTTGCAGTCATTTCTGAGGAATGCAATGCATCAGTCTTCCAGGAATCTGTTCCGGATCTTTCGTGAATCATGACTGTCCGTACTGGCTGACCTCAGCTTTGCCGTGCGAATGCGATTTCTATCAGAGAACAGCCGTTTCCATTCATTTAAAGGGCAAGTTTACCCAAACGGCCGTAAACAGTTATGCACTGATGGCAATAATTGATTAGTTAGTGGTTGCAAGGTATCGATTTTTAAAAAGAACAGTTAAGCATTAGTTAAGAACTTTTGACTGAGTGAATAGTGGAGCACATGCTGATTTAGGTATTTGAAATAAGGTCATTTTTTATTTGAAATAGCATGATGACGTAACATGGCCTTGACCCCAAAGTTTCTGCACCTTCCGCAAAACAAATCAAAGTCAAACGAGCCATTTTAAAACGGTGAGCCGTCCGTCACCGTTTCTCATTCGCGAAAACACCCGGAACGGCTAGGAAGTTCAAACACCCCTGTAGCTAGGCGCGGGCTAATGCTATTCATGGTCAGGCGCGTGGGTCGCCCCTCCCTCCGTCTAGCCGGGTTAGTACCGTACCCCGGCGACCATCCCCATTATTATCTGACAGCGTCCGCCCGGCTCCCTCGAAGGGTCACTTTGGTATGCAGATCCTGGCTCTGTAATACGACAGGGGGAGGCAGCGGGGTTTACGGGCGGAGGTAGTGTGCCGATAAAGGTCCCCGAAGCAGAAGGCGCACAGGTGTGGGTCGTGCGGGCGATTAATTACCAAGGTAATGCGCTGGTGGTGTTTGGGATTGATAGCTCGGTACGTTACATCTCATACGTACGGAAAGCCTGTATAAAAATACATAAACACCTTTTCAGCTTCTCGACATGGCAACTGCACCCTCACTAAGTCACAAGAATATATATAGCCACGTTTTAATTGCCATTGAATAAAAAACCTCCTAGCACCAAAAGAAAAGAATCGACCTACGTGGCGCCAGTAAGTTCATTGTTCAGCGTTACGCCGTCTGTCACTGCTTATTAGGGAGGGACCGAAGTATGACATGTAAATGACCCTTAATCAAGGCCATCACGCCCACCCGCCCGCGTCGCCGCCTTCCTGGATTGGCCAGAGATGGGTGACCCCAAACGGCTTGGCATTATACCACACATAGCATTATGCGAAACAGCTTGGCATTATGATTATGCACGCTCCAGATAGCGCTGATTTGCTTAGACGTCCTGGCAAAATGTGAAGCTTAGACGCTTAGCTTAGATGTTTAGCTTAACCCGCGCCCCGCTGGGGGGGGGGCAGAATCTGCCCCCCCTCCCGTTTTTCGCCAATAACTTCTAAACGCGTTACGCCAGCGACGTCAAACTTTCAGTACCTTATCATACATCAATTTGACACGTTCCCTGAAAATTTGAGCGAAATCCGTCGGATTTTTTTTTTTGAGAAGTTGACGTTTTAGTGACGTCATGTTCGCCATTTTCGCCTCAAAAACGGCAAAATTTCAAACGCCGCTAACATCTTTTTTAAAAGAATCAAGGTTATATAGAATCAAAAAAGGTTATACGTGATTCTACTTTGTCTATCAAATGGATATCTCGATTTTTTGAAAATCTGGGATTTTTGCCCATTTTTTTCTAAAAAAAACTGACTTTTTTTGGGAAAATAATTATAAAATTCAAAATTTTGAGTGTATCGAAAAAACGGAATATACGTCAGACAAGTGGTCTATGTGCACCTACATACCAATTTTTAGAAGAATCGGTTCAAAAATATGGGAGTTATTCAAAATTCTATGACGTCACGACACACAACAATTTTGAAAAACGTTTTTTTTTAAGTTCCAGACCTCGTACGGAAACAAAATAGCACCATTCGATTCGCCGTGAAAATTTCTGCATAAGATAGACACCTTTTTAGGCCTTAACAACCAACTTCAAAATTTGACCTCACTTGATCTGACCTCGACCTGAAATTCATCCAGAGGTGGTCCATATCACTTATTGAGTGTGCCTATTGAATTCTATGAGTAAAATGACCCATAAAACATGTGTCGCACATGCCATTTTTTATATTTTGTTTTTGGTGACCTGACCTGACCTGACCTTGACCTTGACGTTTGAATGACATTGTATGCAACGAATATTGTCTTGGTAGTCTAAGAACACGTTTTGGGCAATCAGTCTCAGTCCATTCTTCGGCAAATACGGTGTAAGGCCGATAGGTACTGTAGAAACTTGCATTTTGTACCCTTGACCTGACCTCTGAAAAAAATGGGCTTTTAAGATCCGCCTTGTTGAGAGCTTTCGATTGCCGTTTTTCCCGTCTTTCTACGACCATCGGTTCGGAAGTTAGACAGGGAGGGGGCAGAATCTGCCCCCCCCCCCCCCCCAGCAGGGCGCATATGGCTGAATAGCCCAGCGGGGCGCGGGTTAATGCTTTGACACATTTTGTTTGCCCAGTCGGTATTTAGTTGCGGGACAGTAAACTTTTCTTCGACAAGTTTTTCTTCACTATCTTGTATTAGTGAGGAAGCAGAACCCAGGCCATACACGTATACCAATTCTGCCTCATGTATTGCAGCCCGTAGGCCGTACGTATAAATACACACACTCTCGACACCCTGAGACACGGGGAAGCGCATCAATCGCCCTCCCCACACACTGGGAAATCCCGACAAGTCCCCGACCAGTACACCTCTCCTACAATCGCATCCAGGACTGACGTCACAGGGGACATGAACACTGCTTAAACGTTGTGCGGCGGACAATAATAAACAGATGTGGGGGCGTTAGGCTGGTACAGACGGTCGCAAGATGGAAGAGAGTATCCCATAATGGGACAGACGGTCCCATCATCGGAACAAACTGTCCCAAATTGCGACAGACTGTCCCCGCAGGACGAAGTGTCCCAACAATGGGATAAATGGTCCTACGAATATGGGATAGACTGTCCTAAAGTGGGAAACACGAATTCTGCTCCCGTTCTAATTATACGGCGATTAATTCCTGAGAGGAGGACTATGATTACATTAAGACAATGGGACGCCCTTAGACCACCGGAGAGAGACGGCAATGGAAAATCTCCTCTTCTCTCTTCCTTCCCAGACATATTTTCCGTTGGGACAAGTCTGCAGACGTCAGTTTAGCGGCCCTAACCAGAAGGTATCGGACAATAGGGATGCAGGGTGGAATGGACAAAATGAGACACGTTTAGGCTCGCTTTGACGTCTTAGTGTTGCAAGGCGCTTGGTCGTCTCACTGTTATGGTTTCTCAGAAGGTAAAGCGCTTATTCGTCTCGCTATTATTGTTTATCAAAATGTATGATATCGACCCTAGGTCTGGTCAAAGCTTATCTCAATGTGGAGTTCAGCAAGAAAAATATAGGACCTATGATTTGAGTGTTATTTGCAAGGACACCTCAGAAAAAGCAAGCGACGAGCCAGACGAAGTGACAGATCCAGAGAAGTCTGGCTGCGTTGCTGAAAAATATTTTAAGGGCTCCTTAGTTAGGAGTCTAAAAACCAAGCGAATTCAGACGTTTTGTGAGTGGGCATACATATTAAAACTCGGCCTTTTCGATTATTAACAACACACTGAACAAAACCGAAAAAAACGTCTCAAATTGTCCATCCCACCCTAAAAAATCGTTAACTGCATACGTATACCAACAGGGAAGTATACCCATACCGCTCCACACTCAGCACACAATTTCCAAAACAATACTTATGCGATAACATGACAAAACAAGGGCAGTTAACATTTCGCGGGCAGATCAACTAGTTTACACATCAGATCAAGCGCTACCTCAACGACAGTCCATTCAACCACTGTGCTGTCCTTTGTGCGTCTTCTGTGCAGTCAGACACCCCATACACTCTCCTAGGGCGCCTCTTGTGCTAACGGGCGCCGCAGAACGGCTCACGACGGCCATTGGCAGGGAAGCTCGCGATATGCACTACAGCTGTCACAGCCAACGGGCAGTCGGGACGCCCACAAGGCGCCCACACGGTCCAGAGGGCGCCCACACGGTCCACAGGGGGCCCACAAGGCGCCCGCACGGTCCACAGGGACGCCCACAAGGCGTCTGAGGGCACCTACACGGTCCAAAGAGCGCCCATAGGGTCCAAAGAGTGCTCATATGGTCCATAGGGCGCCCATAAGGTTCATACGGCGCCCATAAGGTCCATACGGCGCCCATATTAAGGTCCATAGGACGCCCACACAAGCCGGAGGGCGGCCCATTAGGTCTAGAGGGCGCTCATACGGCTCATGCAACGCCCACATGGTCTGCAGGGCGCCCATACGTGCCGCATGGCGCCCAATCAGCCCAGAGAGCGCTCACTCTCTGCAGGGCGCCCACACGGTCCAGAACGCGCTCTTATTGTCCCCTGGCCATACAAACGACCCAAAATGGCGCTCATACGTTACACAGAACCCTCCAACGACGAAAAGTCAGTGTCAGCAGCCCTGACCGGTGGGTGAAGCGGGCATACACCGGTGTGTGGGGTCGGGACGTCACCTTACTGAGATTCCGTACTTGCTGCCCACTTCTGGACAGAGCACAGAGGCGGCCGAGAGCAGCAGAGGTACGTCGTTAGAGTCGACCGACATCAGCTGAAACGGACACGGTGGGTGAGACATGGGTGAGGTAATCCGGTAGTTATATTTGAAGCAAGCCTTCAAACATGGAGGCGCTATAAACAAGAAGGACATATTCGGTGTTGGAACACACGAGACCCGGTTCATCCGTTATCACGGATACGCACACACTTAACCAAATTCACATTCAAGCCCTCATAACGACCCTTTCCGTCCTCTCAACCGAGCTATAAGCCCCTCTCCACTTCAAACAATGTGGACTCCTCTCCACATCTTCCCAAGGAGCTACCAAACCTCATTTTCACTCCTATCACTACAACAATTTCCCCACCTAGTGAGTTCCACGTGCTCACTTCACCCATTTTCCCGATCTCACCTCACGCCCCTTCTCACCTAAGTAAGCTCCCTACACTCTAAGCCCCCCTCTTATCCAAGCGAGGTCCCCTTCTTACTGCGCCCCCTTCTCCCCGCCCTCACTTCGCCCCAGTTCTCACTTAGCCCCTTCTACCCTTCTCACCCCGCCCCATTCTCACCTCGGTGAGTTCCTGCATATTGGCCAGACTACTGTTGATGAGAAACTGCGCCATTTCTGCCGCCCTCGCCGTCAGTTGCACCAGCTGACTCTCCAGGTGTCTGAGCACCAGTGGTGCCGGCGCACCAGTCTCGTGCACCCGACACACCGACTCGACTAGTGCCGACACCAGCGGAGCAAACACCACTGCCAACCCGCTCAAACCTCCCCCGGCGTCACACACAGCGAAAGCATGTGACGAGAGGACTTGTACGGAATACGAGTCTGTATCGGCCAGCACACAGGAAACCTCCCCACTACTAGCAGCGGCGGCTAGGTCAGGTCGAAGGCGAGACTCCCAGGCGGCACGGGTGTCGCAGCCCCACAGAGCTAGGTCGGGGACGTAGGTAGAGCCTCCTCCGCCGAGGGCCGACCAGGGGGTGAGGGACTGCCGGCCCGGCCCGCCGCGGCGAGACTCCAGAAGAGCCGTCTGGAGGGAGCAGAGAATGGGGGTTAGAGGGAGACAATGCGGTCAGACATACGAATAAACATAGTGGTTATAAACATGTTGACACAGATACATAGGGGTGGAGTGTTTCTAAAGGACATTGAGTAAGATCTTATATCATTCAGCAAAAACATACCTAGCACCGCAACTACTGAAACGCACCATACCCCCTTTTCAGTTGAAGCTATTACAAGTTTTTTTTTTCTGGTAGCTTCATTCTCTGCCCTAGCCAACCGATCCATCTTGTCACTCATGGGTCCAATATCTCAATCCTGATGGTTTGTCATCTTTTTCTTGGAATAACCCAGCCCCTTCCTGGGGATTAGTCATGTCTATCCTCTGGGAAGGTTAATCTCTCCCCTCCCCCAAGGCAAAGTATATTCATCTCTAAAAAGTTAATTGTTTTCAAAACGGGCTTCACCCGTTGTTTTCAAACGGGCAAGTATATTCATGTGACACGCTTCTATAACATAGCTCCTACCGTTTCTATCGAATCTCACCTGTTGCTGAAGCCTGACGGGGCTCTCGGGTGTCCTCTCCAGACATCGACACAGCCTCCCCACAGCCGGTGAAGGCACCTCTCGTGGCGGCGGTGACGGGGGAGGCGGCGGCGGGGGTTCAGGCGGCGGCGAGGGCGATCCTCCATCCGACACATGTCGAGCCTTCCGCGCAGCCCAGCCTGCCGACTGCTGCGCGAACCGCAGCGAGCGATATCCACGTAGATACTGTGATGTATCACGTATTGAATCACTATGGCGTCGACTGAGGGGAGAGTGATTTCCTCCCGCCGCCGGTAGAGGGGGAGGAATTTCAACAGCAGCGCTCCGTCCCGAACATCGCTCACACCCAGCAAAACCAGAGTCATCATCCGAACTCTCCGACGTGACAACTGGTCGCGTAGGACGCTGCGTCACGACCGGTGGGACGTTGGACGCCGCGTCCGTCACATCCAACGTCGGTTCTGACGGTTCCTCATCGCCTCCGACGACGAATCGCACCGGCGCGCGGAGGTCTGCCGACGACCGGGAGAGTCGACGTCCGGAGGGCGGAGGCAGGGGCGCAGAAGGTCGGCACAGCGGCTCGCAGGATCGGGATTGAGTCACGGTGGTTATAGGTGGGGCGAGAGTACCTCCCCCGGCCCCGCGAGAGGTTGATAAATCAGTCACCACGAGCGCCGGCACGGTGGGCGCTTCAGTGGAAGTGGGTGGATCTGCCGATCCACAGCCCGAGTCCGTATCCGCACGTGTGACACTTTCCTCACTCGCCACTGAAACCGGCAGGTAGAACCGACTCCTTCCCAGCGGCTGCTGGGGTTCAGGCGGGTCCTCCGCTCCGTCCAGACGCACATAAAACCTCGACCGTGTCTGTGCCTGACTGGAGACCGCTGAGAGAGGCGGGGAGAGCGTCGCACCGCTCTCCTCTGCGCGCAGTGTCGCGCTGGAGCCGGATAGACGCCCGGCAGCCTGCAGCGAGCTCAGAGATCCGCCGCACGGGTCTTCAGACCCCCGTAAGGAGCCGGTAGAGAGATCTCCATTAGGTGCTTCGGAGACGCGTAGAGAACCACTGGAAGTGTCTCGACCGGTGGTGGATAAGGTGGAAGTAGCAGCACGCAGAGGGGAGAAACTCCACGGCATGGTTTCAGACACCTGTCGGAGGAAAAAACGCATGTCAGATAATACATTTACAGTAGCTAAAGCCTCAGTCACCAGATATAACTTTTTATCGCCATAACCAGGCATTTAGGTATAACTAGGTATAGCTCGGTATAACTATGTAGATCGTGAGTGACCATAGCAGCAACTTCGAACGTAGCATACCGATGGACAAAACTGGACGTGTGACTAACTACGAGGCGGTCTGTGTTTTGAAAATTTTAAAGATATGTGAGAATTATCTAAGCACTTCTGGTAATAACAAAATAATGCGAGAATCTGATGATATTCCTCCCTGTTTGTCTTCTTAACTCACCAGCTGATCGCGTATAAAATAGCTCAGAACGAGCAGTAGCCGGCTGACCAGCTCAGTTCTCCGTCCCACCACCAGGGTGCGCGCGGGAGGCGGCGGCTGCAGCTTCCCGGCTCCGCCACCACGCGGCGCCACCGTCAGCACCCAGTGAAGGTGGTGGGTTAGCACGGCCGTGAGAAGAGTCGACATGAAGCTAAAAAAGGAAAGGAATAGAGACACGTCAGTCAGAATGAAAGTGATACCAAACAAAAAAGACGTCAGTATGAGAGCCAGCGGAAGGGACTCAGTAGTCAGTACAGCTTGATAACTCGAGAGGGAGGCATGCGAGCTCAGCAGTGAGCTACTGAAACGGATAATGAAAGCATGACAAAGATGAGCGAGGCCATGTAAGGCAGACATGTTATTGCAACACCGTTCCGTGCTTCTATCCTCAGGATACTGAAGTCCTTCTCCTCCACGCCGCAACCCCCTCCGGGCTGGACAGGCAATTTTACCTCATGCGGGCTGCTCCCTTGGAGCGGCACCGCTGCTCCCGAGGGAGCGCACCCTGTAGCCGGGTGCAGTGAGTACTTTGGGGCTGGGTGGCCTGTCCTCTGGACGGGCTCAGCCCCGGTGACTTACTAGGGTGCCTGCCCAGACCAATGTCTCCCCCTATATCCTATCATCCTCCCGGCTCTGAAATGGTCTCATTGGACCGAAAGGGCCTAACCCAACAAAAAACAAACATGTTATTGCATCGTGAACAAAATACAAAACAAGTTGACGAATTGAAAGTATCATTTGCGAATGCCCGACATGACAAAACTCAGCAGTAACCAAGAAAAAGCCCGCTATCTAAACTTGCGTATTTAATGTTTCCCGATTGCAATCGAGCTCCGGGAGTGATGGAGGGGCCTCAGTAGCCGGGAAGGGACCTCAGTAGTGTCGAACGGACCTCAGTGGCGGAAAGGAGGCCCCAGTAGCCGGGAAGTCGCCTCATTTATAGCGGGAAAGGGGTCTAGGTAGCGGGTGCGGGACCAGAAGGGCCTGCCACTGACCAGTTGTGTTCCTTGGTGTCCAGCTCTGCGATCAGTGACGTCAGTTCAGACACGAACAGCTCGGCCAATCGCTGACGTTGACGTGACGTCACCGAGTCTGACGTCAGACCCAGCCAGACGGGACGCGGTAGACGTCGGGCCGTCAGTAGGTTCAGTAGATCCTGTGACGTCAGAAAAACGCCGGTCACATGACAGCACAGTGATGCTATTGGACGACGGTCGCATGACAGTACAGCAATTTTAGAACGTCGGTCGCGTGGTATAGCAGTGATGCTAAACAAGGTACAGAACAGTGAACGGCAGAAAGGGGTCAAGTGACAAAACGGTGGTCCACCAGGACAGGGTACCGCGACAGTAGCGTAGACGGCATAAAGAGTAACGTGACAATACAGCGCGTCGAAAAAATGGGTCACGTTAGACCAACTAGCCACACGCCAGTCTCAGTCCATAATGAAAATTATGTGAGCATCTCACTCCCATCAGCCAATACTTCTCCGCTATACTCCAGCAGCTACACATGCATAATAATTCACAGGCGGCTTCATGAAATTCAACACCTTCGAAAGCCCAATGGATTTGCTGAAAGTTGCGCAATGCACACATCATTATTTGCAATTACCTACCGATGACAATAACAAAGCGTGCGAAATACACGTATTAAGCGTGAAAACGCAGGCGTGCTTATCCCACACGAACCTGTTTGGTGACGGCCGTGGCCTGGTGGACGGTCCTCACAAAGAGTCTCCGGCCGTGGTAGGCGTGTCTATCCATTACCCACCTGTTTGGTGACGGCTGTAGCCTGGTGGACGGTCCTCACAAAGTGTCTCCGGCCGTGGTAGGCGTGTCTATCCATTACCCACCTGTTTGGTGACGGCTGTAGCCTGGTGGACGGTCCTCACAAAGTGTCTCCGGCCGTGGTAGGCGTGTCTATCCATTACCCACCTGTTTGGTGACGGCTGTAGCCTGGTGGACGGTCCTCACAAAGTGTCTCCGGCCGTGGTAGGCGTGTTTATCCATTACCCACCTGTTTGGTGACGGCTGTAGCCTGGTGGACGGTCCTCACAAAGTGTCTCCGGCCGTGGTAGGCGTGTCTATCCATTACCCACCTGTTTGGTGACGGCTGTAGCCTGGTGGACGGTCCTCACAAAGTGTCTCCGGCCGTGGTAGGCGTGTCTATCCATTACCCACCTGTTTGGTGACGGCTGTAGCCTGGTGGACGGTCCTCACAAAGTGTCTCCGGCCGTGGTAGGCGTGTCTATCCATTACCCACCTGTTTGGTGACGGCTGTAGCCTGGTGGACGGTCCTCACAAAGTGTCTCCGGCCGTGGTAGGCGTGTCTATCCATTACCCACCTGTTTGGTGACGGCTGTAGCCTGGTGGACGGTCCTCACAAAGTGTCTCCGGCCGTGGTAGGCGTGTTTATCCATTACCCACCTGTTTGGTGACGGCCGTGGCCTGGTGGACGGTCCTCACAAAGAGTCTCCGGCCGTGGTAGGCGTGTCTATCCATTACCCACCTGTTTGGTGACGGCTGTAGCCTGGTGGACGGTCCTCACAAAGTGTCTCCGGCCGTGGTAGGCGTGTCTATCCATTACCCACCTGTTTGGTGACGGCTGTAGCCTGGTGGACGGTCCTCACAAAGTGTCTCCGGCCGTGGTAGGCGTGTCTATCCATTACCCACCTGTTTGGTGACGGCTGTAGCCTGGTGGACGGTCCTCACAAAGTGTCTCCGGCCGTGGTAGGCGTGTCTATCCATTACCCACCTGTTTGGTGACGGCTGTGGCCTGGTGGACGGTCCTCACAAAGTGTCTCCGGCCGTGGTAGGCGTGTCTATCCATTACCCACCTGTTTGGTGACGGCTGTGGCCTGGTGGACGGTCCTCACAAAGTGTCTCCGGCCGTGGTAGGCGTGTCTATCCATTACCCACCTGTTTGGTGACGGCTGTGGCCTGGTGGACGGTCCTCACAAAGTGTCTCCGGCCGTGGTAGGCGTGTCTATCCATTACCCACCTGTTTGGTGACGGCTGTAGCCTGGTGGACGGTCCTCACAAAGTGTCTCCGGCCGTGGTAGGCGTGTCTATCCATTACCCACCTGTTTGGTGACGGCTGTGGCCTGGTGGACGGTCCTCACAAAGTGTCTCCGGCCGTGGTAGGCGTGTTTATCCATTACCCACCTGTTTGGTGACGGCTGTAGCCTGGTGGACGGTCCTCACAAAGTGTCTCCGGCCGTGGTAGGCGTGTTTATCCATTACCCACCTGTTTGGTGACGGCTGTAGCCTGGTGGACGGTCCTCACAAAGTGTCTCCGGCCGTGGTAGGCGTGTCTATCCATTACCCACCTGTTTGGTGACGGCTGTAGCCTGGTGGACGGTCCTCACAAAGTGTCTCCGGCCGTGGTAGGCGTGTCTATCCATTACCCACCTGTTTGGTGACGGCTGTAGCCTGGTGGACGGTCCTCACAAAGTGTCTCCGGCCGTGGTAGGCGTGTCTATCCATTACCCACCTGTTTGGTGACGGCTGTAGCCTGGTGGACGGTCCTCACAAAGTGTCTCCGGCCGTGGTAGGCGTGTCTATCCATTACCCACCTGTTTGGTGACGGCTGTAGCCTGGTGGACGGTCCTCACAAAGTGTCTCCGGCCGTGGTAGGCGTGTCTATCCATTACCCACCTGTTTGGTGACGGCTGTAGCCTGGTGGACGGTCCTCACAAAGTGTCTCCGGCCGTGGTAAGCCCGCTCCACCGTGTGCTGGAGGCGGGCCAGGAGATGCTCCAGCTGCAGCGAGTACTGGAGGAGTGTGTCCTCCAGGACACTGGAACGAGAGGGGAGGGCATGGTCATGGCTACAGTACTGGAGGAGCGTGTCCTCCAGAACACTGGAACGAAAGGAGAGGGTTACAGTTATAGTACTGGAGTTTAGGGTATCCTCCATAACACTGGATAAAGAGGGGGAGGGGAGGGTAACGGTTAGAGTACTGGAGTTTAGGGTGTCCTCGAGAACACTGGACAGTCAAAAAACGGAGAGTCTGACGGCTACAGTACTGGAGGAGCGTGACCTCCAGAACACTGGATGTCAGACTTTTTGAAAGGGAGGCGACAGCGGGTCAATGTTGACGGTGAACTATCAGGGTGGAAAAGCGTGGATAGTGGAATCCCACAAGGTTCAGTGCTGGGGCCTCTGTGTTTCCTTATCTTTGTCAACGATATCCCGTCTGTCGTATCAAAACCACTGAAGTTATTTGCAGACGATACCAAGGTATACGGAGATGTGACATCACAAGAAAATATTGAGGCACTGCAGAGTGATATCGATGCTATTGTGAAGTGGACATCTATATGGCAGCTGCCTCTAAACACAAACAAGTGTCATACTCTGCACCTCGGCCACCGAAATCCAAGGCACACATATCACATAGCAGGGAACATGATCGACGGCGTCACCAATGAAAGGGATCTTGGAGTCGTAGTTGACGAAAAACTTGCCTTTCACGATCAGACGGCAGTAGCAATGAAGAAGGCAAATGCGATTCTGGGGCTGATTCGGAAATCCTTTGATTTTCTTAACTCAAAAGCAATGTCCATGCTGTATAAAGCCTTAGTTCGGCCGATAATTGAATACGGAAATATCGTTTGGGGCCCCACGTACATCGGTGATCAGAAGAAAATTGAAAGAATTCAAAGACGTGCAACCCGACTCGTTCCAGAAATACGCCAACTGTCATACCAGGACAGACTTAAGAAGTTGAACTTGCCAAGTCTGGTCTACAGGAGAAAAAGAGGTGACATGCTCACTATGTATAAAATCATGACTGGCAAAATGCAGATGGACCCATTGTTTGAGCCCGTAGCAGGAGAGCATCGCACCAGGGGACACCAGCTGCGACTCAGGAAACCCTTAGCTGTCAAAACAGTGAGACGTCATCATCTGGGAGTTAGAGCAATTGACGACTGGAATAGCTTACCGCAAGATGTGGTGACTGCGCCGTCCTTGAATTCGTTTAAATCAAGTCTGGATCAGTTTTGGTGCGAGAAGTGGTATGAACTGGAATGGCGACGCTGTTAACTGAAGAGGTCATATTTCAAGCCCACTGATATTCAACGTAGACGCAAGTCCGGACTGAGATAAACACATGGCCTATTCAAAACAAAACTACGTATGGGAGCTACAGGCCTCATGAAGAGGCCTCACTTCCTGAAATCCTTCAAAGTCAAAGTCAAAGTCAACACTGGATAGAGAGGGGAGGGGAGACAAATAAGACAATTCAGAAACGAGTCATTAAAGACCTGTTGTCAGATACCCAAACAATAATAAAGTAACGATACATTACGCACTCCAATCACAAAGACCAAAATCTACATCGAGTTAACAAAAGAGAAAAAATCCGACAGGAATAATATATATTGTGTAATTTGCATCACAAGCTGAAAAATAACACAAAAATTTCAACATTTTTTTCCTAAGATAGTCTGTTACCCATGATCAGGTAACCAGGAGTGTGGAGCATTAACATTGTGTAGCATTAACGTCACAACAAAAATTCAAATGCCAACCATCTTTTCTAAAGCCTCCAGTCCACAAGCTCTTGCAACTCCTGCCACGCCCTCATCCCACACATTGACAGTCCAGTTTGGCTGCATTCCCATTCCCACTCCCCCAGGTCACTGACCTTCGCGCCGGCCCTGCCAGTGTCACCAGGACGACCACTGCCAGGCGGGCGGCGCGTGACGTCATACGCAGACACGGTGCGTCATCGCGTGACGTCAGCATTAGGTCCGAGGAGCCAATGGGACGCAGACGGGCTGAGCGGTGCAGCGAGCCGTGCGATCCGAGCGATGCCCCGGAGCCTGGGGGGTAGAGGAGGAGGTTTGATAGGGGTAAAGGGACCATACTAAAATACCATACTACCGGGGTATCACATAAGCCGTTATTGGCCTAACAGCCTAGCGATTACCAATAGTAGATACATCCAGTAACACTGCGGCGACGACATTCAATAGTCAAGCCAGGGATATTCAGAGTCTGACCAGCTCACATAGTAGTTAGCTTTGCACTGCAGAAACAAGTGAGATCTCAAATATGGGCAGGACTCAAAATGTGTTTTTTTGAGGTCTTTTATAAACGTGGTTCATATATACAGGGTGGGCCAAAAAAGTGTGTCACTTTTCAGTAGCTATTTCTCGAAAGTGGTAAAAGATACCAAGAAGAAACTTTCACAACTTAAAGAAAATCGATTGACAAATTATATGATACCCATTTTATGAAAAAGTTTCAGTCGAACTGATGTTGCCATCACCATTTCAACAATGGGATATGTGCGTCTTTTATGTTTGCGCATGTGCTCGAAGTGCAGGCACCTCAACGCTCAAGGCATGTCTGAACGCGCTCCAGGAAGCTGACGCTCACCCTCTCCGCGGTGGCTGCTGTCACTTCACGCACGTATTGATCGACGCTGACACGCAGCTCCTCCAGGCTACCGGGCTTGTTGCGATAGACGCTGTCCTTGCGGGCTCCCCAAAACCAGTAGTCTAGCGGGTTGAGGTCAGGACTATGAGGAGCCCATTGCTTTTCGCTTCCCTTGGTGATCACGCTACAAGCTTTGTTCATGCAAGATGTAGCGCCACCGCACACGGCCCGAGAGACACTGCAACTGCTCCAAGAGCTCTTCGGTTGCCGCATGATCTCCAAGGGAAGCGAAAAGCAATGGGCTCCTCATAGTCCTGACCTCAACCCGCTAGACTACTGGTTCTGGGGAGCCTGCAAGGACAGCGTCTATCGCAACAAGCCCGGTAGCCTGGAGGAGCTGCGTGTCAGCGTCGATCAATACGTGCGTGAAGTGACAGCAGCCACCGCGGAGAGGGTGAGCGTCAGCTTCCTGGAGCGTGTTCAGATGGCCTTCAGCTTGGTGGTGCCCACTTCGAGCACATGCGCAAATAAAGAGATGCACAGATTCCATTTTTGAAATGGTGATGGCAACATCAGTTCGATTAAAACTTTCCATAAAATTGATATCATATAATTTGTCAATCGATTTTCTTTAAGTTGTGAAAGTTTCTTTTTCGTATCTCTTAGGTACCACTTTCGAGAAATAGCTGCTGAAAAGTGACACACTTTTTTGGCCCACCCTGTAATAAAGCACAAGCCCCTGTGGGTCATGCAATAGCCCTGTGTGGTCACACACTCACCCTGGGCCGACAGCGGCGTTCCGTACGGCGTCGGCATGTAGGACGGCGGTCCCATGAAGCTGTCGACACTGCTCAGACCAGAGTCCTCGCTGAGGCGGCCCGCCGGCGGCGGACAGTCCATGCTGGACGACCTGGCGGCAGGTCAGGGAGGTCACAGGTCACAGGTCAGAGAGGGGGCAGTCTATACTGGATGACCTGTCGACAGGTCAAGGTCAGGGAGGTCAGGGAGGTCAGCGAGGTCACAGGGGTCAGTGCATGCTGGACGACCTGTCGGCAGGTTAGGGAGGTCACAGGTCACAGGTCAGATGTCAGAGGGGGACAGTCCATGCTGGAAAACCTGTCGGCAGGTCAGGGAGGTCAGGGAGGTCGCAGGTCAGAGGGGGACAGTCCATGCTGGAAAACCTGTCAGCGAGGTCAGGGAGGTCACAGGTCCGATGTCAGAGGGGACAATCCATGCTAAATGACCTGTGGGCAGTTCACCAAGATACTGGTCACCGAGGGTAGAGGTAAGATGTGTTGAAGGGGCTGTGGAGGTTTGAAGTTTGCAGTCAGAGGTTAGAGGGGAGATCCGAGGCAAGGCTGCGGAGTCGGAGTCGATAGTTCTGACCCGAGCCAAAGTCGGAGTCACCGAAAATCCATAGACTCCACAGACCTGCTAAGGCTGCAGAGTCGGAGTCAGAGTCGGTTGGAGTCGACGATTTTTCCCTGAGTCGGAGTCACCAAAAATCCAGACTCTGCAGTCCTGGTTAGAGGTCAGCGAGGTTGGAGGGGTCTGAGAGGTTCGGCATCAGAGAGGTTTGTTAGAGGCCAGAGGTCTGTAAGAATTATGAACATGGGGAAGGCTAGATATGTAATACACAGAGAGTACTGACTGACCTGGGGTGGTGGGGTGTGTATTGTGTGTGTGTGTGGGGGGGGGGGGGTGGGGGGTGGGGGGGGGGGGGGTATGACTGACCTGGGGTGGGGTGCGGTGACGGCAGACCGGGGTACACTAACCTGGGGTGGTGGGGTGACGGACAGCTCGCAGGGAGCTACACTGGGGGGTGGTGGGGGTATAGGTAACTGACCTGGGGTGGTGGGGTGACGGCAGACCGGCCACGTCCAGTCGCAGCAGGGAGCTACACTGGGGGGGGGGGGGTAGCACTGACCTGGGGTGGTGGGGTATGTATGTGTGAGTATGGGGGTATAACTGACCTGGGGTGGTGGGGGTACAACTGACCTGGGGTGGTGCGGTGACGGCAGACCGGCCACGTCCAGTCGCAGCAGGGACAGCTCGCTGCCGGTCGAGCTACACGAGTCGTCCAGACTCGTACCGCTGAGGGGAGCAGACACGACGTCAGATAATACAGAGTACGACAGATAATACAGACACAACGTCAGGCAGTACAAATAGAGTATGATAGACAGTCAGGCAGGGTATGACAGACAATACAGAGTATCGCAGACGATGCAATAGCAGTTTGCCTTAGTACCGACAGGACAGAGTGAAGTTGCATTTAGAGACAGTGCCACACAGCGTGAGAAAAAACACACAGAAGTAGACAATAAAGGCACATATGCCACATCCTGGATGCACTGGTTTGAGACTGTGACACGACCAGGTTTAAACTCCAACTGTGCCTTAGAGAGAAAGTTATGTCATATTTCCTTTAGTCTACGACATGTACGGCCCTCCAGCAAAAGAGTGGTTGGTTAACCTATGTGCTTTTGGTGTAATAACTTTGAATGACAGACACTCCTGTAAAATGACTCAATAGAAATGAGAAGAGGGTTCGTGCACACGCTTCGGCAATGGTTTTCAACAGCCATTAGACGTATTCATCCATGCAGATCGCTTATTGTGATGTTGGCAACCAACCACTAAATACCTGGAGGGCCGTACCAATGACAGTACGCCATGTCTTATTTCCACTGGCTCGTACCCAAGCCGTGGAACCTCCCCCCTCACCTGCTGCCGTGAGTTCTGGCGCGGCGGACCGGCTGGCGCAGCGGGAACACCCGGCTCATCATCATCGTGTCCGGGGAGCAGCTCGGATCGGCGCCCTCCGCGCCTGAGGGACGGGTGGCGGGTCAGAGGTCAACGACTGACGGACGGGTGCGGTCAACGACTGACGGACGGGTGGCGGGTCAGAGGTCAACGACTGACGGACGGGTGGCGGGTCAGAGGTCAACGACTGACGGACGGGTGCGGTCAACGACTGACGGACGGGTGGCGAGCGAGGTCAACGACTAACGGACGGGTGGCGGGTGAGGTCAACGACGGCAGATTGCAAATTGTCAACAGGTCACAGGTTCACATACTGAGCTAAGCCACATCAGCCAACACATACACCAGTGTAATGCTGCAGCTACTAATAAATGTGGCAATGAAAAGTTGGTTAAAAATAAGCTTCTTATGTTTATGAAACGAAGCGTGTAACATTAAAAGTAGAAAAAGTAACATAATTGGTAACAAATTATATTAAACATTGGGAGAGTGGCAACAACTGATTACTACGACCAGCTTAGGCATAAAAATTTCCATCAGCGAAGCAATAGTCTGCAGTTCATTCTCGGACCTTTCAAACAACGAACAATAAGACACGAGACTCAAGAGTACTCATGCAGCTACTGACGGCTTACCTCTGACAATGTGCACCTTGCAGGTGGGTCCTCCATAGGCCATTGCCACGGTACCAAACACCATCTCTCCCAGCTGTTTGGCGTCCGGACGTTGGCGAGTGTACTGCAACACAGTCAAAGTATCAGTTAGCACATAAAATATACAGAGCGCTGCAGTTTAGCAGCCAGATATTTTGTGAGGAGGGTATGACGCATTCCACGAGCTGACGTCACAGGCGATGACGTCGGCTCGCGCGCGAGCCAACACTAACATGAACCCTCTGAGCAGTGAGCATAGATGGTGGGGTAGCATATAGAGTGAGCTGTATAAGAATATGGATAGATTTGCATCATGCATGTCTCAAATGATTGTTGGGGCATCTCTGTTTGCTTTTTTATTTTTATATCTGTTTATTTAGGCTTACTCAACGCCTTAATTGCTAAATGCCTGCCATTTATTCATATGACAAAATCCTCAGTAAACAATGCAAATGCAATGGACCAAAGATTTGTGAGAAATTTGGGAAGATTTGTGAGCGCTTGCTGTCAACCAATTAGAGTTCAGGCTTCAGCTTATGTAATCTAAGTGTGAACAAGACAAATGAGTGAAATATGTGATGCCCAACAATTTTATGTACCTACATGATCCAAAATTAATAAAAAGACTCTAGAGATGACTGAGCTGACAAGTGAAGTCTACAAATGAAGTTACAGGTTCATCCATGTTGATCTTGTAGAGAAAGCAGGTATGACATCAAATTTGATCACTTCACTTTTGATTCATGCTCTGCTGATATGCACTGCAGCATCATCATATAATTAAATAGATGCATGCCTTTTGTTAGATTTTCTAGTCAATAAACCAGATTGGTTAGGAAGTTCAGACAAAAATTAAATGTGCACAGAACACCTGAAAGTCTATGTAAAAACATGACTCACCATACAGGACCTGCCTACTATCTGGAGAGCGGGAATCAGATAGGCTGCTCGGTGCTCATTGCACAACCATTACTTGAATAATGATATTGCTTTGCAATAATTCTTGTTTGGAAATATATCACACATAATTTTTATTGCACTTGCGGCTTGCTTACAGGACTAAATGACATTATGCTTAGTGAGTAAATAAAAAATGAGCATTGAGGAAAGAAAAACATAAAATATACAAATAAGGTGCCAGCATATTTAAATAAATATTGCTTTTTGATAGTAATTAACCCAACATAAGGCCATCCCTATTCCTTACCTTGAAACCTGTGTCATTTTCCACCTCAATGAGGCCAGCGTGTTCTGTTGTACCACTTCCGCAGGGCACCAGCAGGACAGTGGATGAGTCAAAGAGCAGCCTCCTGCCTCGTACCTCACATTCCCGATAGACCAGGACAGTGACCTGGTCTGGCTCCAAGGCCACCGGCTGCCAGGGACTGCAGAAAAAATGAGGGTGACGGTAGGAATATGAAAGCTTCTGTCTCTGTACACAAACATCATAACTTGAGCCTTCCTGCAACTACAAAACTGCCTTAATAGGCACCTAAAGTTTGAAATTCAAAAGTGGCAAATCAATCATCCAAATCCAATGACTAAAATAAACATCCAAAACAGCTGTTAGCCAACACAAAATAAGTAAAAGCTGCAAACTGTATGAGACCATGCCAGTCATTTAGGATCTACATGACAAAATGGTGATAAAATTACTGAAAAGATAAAACAATAATTAAAAAATATAATAAAAATGCATATAAATGCACTAGGCAAATTGTAACAGCTGCGCCATGAATGTCGATAAATAATAAAAGCACATAATTAGAAGCATCATCAAACTAACAATAACTGCAAAAAACATCAATAACACTTACTTAAACTCTGGTACATTATCATATCCTTTCAGAGGCTTTAATGCACTTTTCTTTCTACCACCAAACAGTCTAGACAACAACGCCATGTCTCGTGATAACCACTAGAGCTCCATGTAAACAAACACTCGCATCTGACCTCATTCAGCTGAGCCCAGTCACAGTAAACGTGCAAACTGGCAACGTGTTCTAGCGAGTGGATCACGCCCAAGGTCGGATGAATCGGTCCGTCATATGACTGCGCCGCGTATTTTGGGTACGGGAGCTCACGAGGAGGAGTTTCCGGATGGCGCCAACAGCGGATGTAGGAGTCATTGCATTGCATAAGCGTCGCCAGGGTTTTGAGGATGGAGGCAATGAGTGCTCAGGCAATATTTGTCATCGGCGCCTATTATGCGGTTGTTGGTGATTATAAATTTATATTTCTCGGGGTGGGGGTCGGGGGGGGGGGGGTGTCTCGGGCACTCCGGTGTTCTAGTTTCAAGCTCATTTAGGTAGGTACAACCCGCGCCCCAGTGGCGGTCTCAGCCAACTTCGCCCTAGTGGGGGGAGGGGGGCATATGTTACCACCCACCTCTAACTCAAAAACTAAGAGGGCTAGGCTAGAAAGCCGCGGTAAAAAGCAGTCGATAGCTCTCATTGCGTACGTTTGAAAGTAGGTATTTCTGTCATTTTCATCTTAGACTCTTAGAGCAATATTGGGGTCACCAGAGGTCATCAATCAAAGGTCTAAATTTGCCAATTGTCATTAGGTATATTTTTCAGAAAACATGCCGTTATCTCAGGAACTATGATAGCTAGAAACTGAAAACGCATGGAAAAGCAATCGATAGCTTTTGAACTCTTCTTCTGATAAAATCATTATCAAAATTGACCTCAGGTCAACGGTTTAGCCTCCAGAAGGCAAAAACTCCAAAAACACTGCAGGCTGGACATGATTGCAAACTTTTTAGGCTTGGTTAGTTAACTTGACCTGGTGACCTGACCTGACATGACCTGGGGTCAAAAATTTCACACATTGTCCAAAATTAACATACAAAAAGCTACTGCAAGCGGCGTGGCGCTATGCGCCGCGGTTTTTGTTCACACGCAAAAAAAAAAAAACGCGACAGGGTGGTAACATATGCCCCCCCCCCCACACTGGGGCGAAGGTTAATGCATGCATTTTTCATTCGCAGGTCACGTTCGCGACATATTCCTACCTTCCAATCGAGTATACCTACTATGGGTTGGATTTGGGCTGGGTAGGTGTAAGGAGAATCCTGGACCGCGAAATGACGGAGTCGGAGTCGGAGTCGGGGTCGGTCAGAGTGAACAGTTTTGACCAGTTAATTGTTTTCTAAATTCTACAATGCTCCCTGAGTCCCTTCGAGTTTGAGTGACCGGTAGCCACGTGGGAACCAAAATACTCAACCCAAGCATAAAGCATTGAACATAACACATTATTCCTCCATGATCCATCGACTATCCGCCTGGCCCTGATGCGGATGATCCCCGTCAAGGATGTCGTGTATCGACTACAGAGTGCCGGATCGATTCTGATTTCATGCATTAGGTACCTTTACAAACCTAAATCCCCGCATTGTATTTGGGAATACATGATCAGGCACCTATAAGCCTTAAAGATACGTTTGCTATTGAAAGTGCAGTCCTTACATAGTTGAAGTTCTTCTGAATCGGCATCAGCTATGTTACTGATGCCGATTCAGAAGAAACAGTTGTGTGGAAAGAAGCATTTCGAAATCCATAGCTCACTTTGCACACATGCCACTATCAGTAGGCAATAGATTGTAGGGCCACTGCACCGTGCTGCTAAGGATTGACGGGTTCCTGAACTGCCCACGGAATAGCAGCTCCATAATCATCATTATGCATTGCTCATAAACAGAGTCATAAACAGCCGATATGCAGGCCGGTGCAAAAGTACTGCGTGCTAACCTATGTATATCGAAGCAACGCTGCTGTCGCCCATACATAAATGCTTACAAATACCACACAAGCCAAACCCCCCCCCCCCCACACACACACACAACGCGTGGCAGTGTTGTGTGCACCTATTTAAAGGGACACTCCCACCTTAACATTAGTTTTGAGTTGAGATAGCCAAATTGGTGGCCATGGCCTGCAAATACCGGTTTGGGCACTCACAACATCGACAAATGCTTTAATTCGGAGATATGGAATTTCAAACTTGCAGTTTTCGGATTCTAAGGGGCTAGTGCATTGGTATGCCCCCTTAGAATTTGTGACGTCAGCGGAGATCTAACGATTTTTAAATCTTTTACTAAAACGTTTGGTAGCACGCGGTGGTATATGCTGCTTTGCGCGCAACAAATGCCGCACTTTCAAATAAAGTCGCTAGGAACAGCGGAGATCCCAAAAAGTAAACAAAAGTAAAAGTCTAATATCTTGAAAACCGGTGAATATTTTTCGATGAAATTTGGTAGATATTCGTTTTCGCTCTTTCTGAACCGAGCGACATCACTTTCGTGCCAATTCATTAACTTTTTTGAAGGTGGGAGGGTCCCTTTAAAGGAAAAGGGCCACCTTCGTGAAATATGAAGATATCGTTGTTTTTCATTTTGACATTATTATTTTTCATTTTCTTTTTAAAACTGGTGCCAGAAGTGCACAATTCGCGAAAAAGTATTTAAAACTATTTAACATATTGGTACTATGTTGATACTCTCTGCGGCACCTACTGTATGATGGCATAGCGATGACGTCACACTCAAGCCAATCAGCGTTCAGAAGACAGACTCCTCGGATTGTGTCAGATAAGCTGATTGGTTAAAGCTGAGCTGATTGGCGCTGATTGGTAAAAAACCAAAGCCTCGCCGCGGGTGGCTGTATTACAGGGTTAGGACGCATTCCTGGGATAAGGACGCATTCCTCTTTTAAAATTGCCGATACCTACGAATGGAAGCCGAAATCGGCCGTAAGGAGATAGAATGGAGGGTTTTCGGACACGGGCTACAAGATGGCTATCTCAGTTTCAATCCCCATGTTAAAGGTGGCCCTTTTCCTTTAAGTTGTTGTAAATACATTGTGCGTAAGTGCTTGCGCTGTAAATGCATTGTGTATATTTAGAGCGCGGTAGCGTTTCCTCAAATACGCGTTTGGGTGCATTCCAGGCACTGAATGGTTATGGTTAGGCACGGTTATGGTTATGGTTAGGCACGAATGGTTATGCTAGCTTCGAAACGATTTGAAGACTTTATATGTTTTATGCACTTTGCTGTTTGTGGTAGGGTAGCCTGGGGCAAGACGCCCCAGATAATTTATTTTGCTACATAACTTTTGTCCCACATCACCTGGAAGGCCAAATTTGTGCTCAATGCGTTCTTTGGACATTTTACTTTAAATTCCACCCCTCAAATTCATTCACTTATGATCGGACTCCCAGCTAGGAAGTGATTTGTGAAGCAACTGCAAATAGGGCGTTTTGCCCCAACCCCAGGGCAAAACGCCCCACGGCCTGGGGCAGGAAGCCCCATACTCTAGATTAAAGGTAGTGTGCCACCTTTGAAAGATTTCCCATTTTATTTTTCCTAGGATAAGAAGCTTCTGTTTTTACCTAATATCGCAAAAAAATCAAAACTGGGCCTGGAATAGTGCCTTTTTCGCCTAAAAGTTTTTCGGTTTTTAGATATGTATAACAACTGTAGTGGGCTCACCTGCAAACAGGCGTCGGGCAACAATCGCGAATGCGGCGCACTTGTGACAATAAGCAAAGGTCATTATAGTGTTACGACCATACGACGTACGGGAATGAGTTATCAGCTGTCTAATCGTAGACAACACAATGTCGAGCCTTAAACTGTAAGCCCGTATTGGTATTGTTTCTTTTATTTGGCTGTCGAACATTATTTATGGTTTGAAATATGATTTTATGTAAAATAATTGATATGAAAAAGCCGTCTTATAAGTTATGACCCCATTTCACCACACGCAAGTGGCAGAAATGACAATGATCAGCTGACGCATTTTTCTTGGCCGAAGTCAGAGCGCGCGGCCCGACGCACCACGCGTATTTGGAAATTCCGACCTCGACGAGCATCAGAAGCCACCTAACAGGCGTGTTCGAAACCGCAGGAGATGATGATGAACGGGTTTATCGAAACTTGATTGGATGAGCATATCGGTAATAGCGATTTCAGTGTGTGCATTTATTGTTCATAGTGGTGTGAAATGTGGTTGGGGTACGACCGACAACCCGTCGGGGCGAATTTCGCACTGGGGTACTCAAAATTTGAAGAATTTAAGACGTTTCCATGAGTTTTGAAGGTATGGATAAGTTCTAAAAATCCGGTTCTCCTTATCTGGGCCATTAACTCCATACGGTCCAAGAAAGCTGGCACACTACCTTTAAAGATTAAACATGCTAGTTGACTAAATCTTAGGGGAAGGTGGGGTAAGACGGCCCAGCGGGGCAAGACGGACCACCAGCCCTCCCGGCTGAACCGCTGCTGGTATCTACTGCTTTATGCACTCACTATGTTTGTTTTCCTTCGTAACAATGGCCACTTTGAGCTCATACTGCTAGGATGCATAGCTTTTGAGTTATTGAGAAAAATGTTGTTTTTCGTCAAACGGATCTAATATAAGAGGTCTACGGGTGATTCAATTACGGCGCCTTTCTTGCATGATTAGTTTCTATTTTGCACTTTACTGTGAAGAACAAAGTTATAAACTTAGTTATAGTCACACTTTAGGAAAGGCAAGGTTTTGCAATGTTGGGCTATTTGACATATACGTCATGGTAATGACAGAATTTAGATTTGGGGCAAGACGGACCACTGTGGTCCATCTTACCCTGTGGTGGTCCAATTGTACCCTGCATATGGAAAGGTCTTTTCCAAAACATTGACACAAGTTTAAGTAAGCTAATTTTTCAGGAAGGAGTCTTTGTTGCATGTGAACCATGCATGCAAGTGCTCAGTTAGCATGCATTTATGCCAAACGACAATCAACACACATGTTCCCAGCTTTTAGCTGCACTTCCATCACACATGAGTAAAGAATAAAGGCTCATTTTGTTATTTTACCATTCTGGTTACTTTTTCTTACAAGAGTACAGAGCAGAAGTGTAACACACATGAACGGATAGCAGGCACTGCTGGGTGGTCTGTCTTACCCCACGTT